AGAGTTCCCAGCCCCTTCCTTCACAACCCTCTAAGAGCCCCCAAACTCCTCCTTGCACAGCCTTCCCAGAACCTCCAGCTTCCCTGTTCACCACTCTCACAAAGGCTTCAGCCCCTCCACACAGTCATCCCAGAGCCCCCACCACAGTCCTCCCAGACCCACTGACCCTTCCCTACACAGCCCTTCCAGAGCCCCTAGCCTTCACCAGCACAGCCGTCTCACAGCCCCGAGCCTACCCCTTCACAGTCCTCCCAGATCCCCCAGCCCACCCATACAGTGTCCTCCCAGAGCCTCCAGCCTCCACTAGAACAGCTTTCCCCAGGATCCCAGCCTCTCCTGGCACAGCCCTCACATGTCTGTCCCATGCACCGGGCACAAAGTCCCTGCTTCTGCCTTTAATGACATTTAGAGCCCTTTTGGTGTCGCTTGTCTCCACCTGCCATCAGAGTAAGGCTTCAGCCCCATGACCACATTGGGCATCCTCCATCCAAGCAGAATCTTCCCTTGGAGTGTCCACACATGTCCCCCTAGCCTGGAACATCCTTCTAGCCTCCCTCCACCCCGCGCTCCAACCTTGCTTAGTTTTCAAGGTGTGAACTGACTGTTACCTCCTCTGAGAAATGTTCCCCCTCCTCAGCTCATTCCTTTCCCAGGGGCCCTGGGCTGGCTGAACGTGAACAGAGGATGTGATGACATTAAGGAATGAAAAGGAAACATTTGTAGCTTTCAGGTACCTGAGGAGTGCAAAGAACAACCCTAATGACTTAAGACAAGGTTGTCTGTTTGAATCCACCCAGAAGCACTGTGGAAGAAAAGTCGGGCAATCCCTTTCTTTTTTTTAAATTTTTTATTGCGTTTTTTGAGTGTACCGTCAAATCAGATCTGACTGGTACAGAAGGAGATAGCCCCTCCTTCTCCAGCAGAGCATCTGATGGATTTGAACCATTCGCCTCTGGGACTGCAGTGCAGCTTCTTGCTACTAGGCAACCTGTGGGACAGAGTCAACCTGCCTCACGGTCACCAAGTCTCTAAGGTTTACAGAAGCTGACTGCTGCCGTTTTCTTCTATGTTGTTATTGCTGTTGTTGTTATTGTGTACCACAGAGGTGGAACTGACTCATAGCCCACTGTCTGGTGGGTTTTCCGAGGCCACTGCCTGGGAGGAGATTGCCCTCCTTCTCCTCGAACCGCGTGCCTTCGGGATTGCAGTGCAGGTTCATGCCACTAGGCCACCAGAGGTGGAGCGGCTAGTGGGTTCAAATTGTTAGATCTTCTGTTAACACACATGAGCTTGCCCACTGCACAATCAGGGCTCCTCTTATGAAAGGAAGACAGTCACAGACGAACTGTAGGGGAGCAATTCCACTCTGTAACACTTGGGGTCGCTGTGGATGCCAGTCAGCCAGGGCACTGGGTTATTTGTAGGCTTCATGATAGGGGTTTTTTGGGTGTTTTTGTTTTTGTTTTTTTGTTGTGACAATTTCGAGGTAGGCCTAGTGCCAAGAAGCTGCACTGCAATCCCAGAGGTACATGGTTCGAATCCACCAGATGCTCTGCTGGAGAAGGAGGGGTGATCTCCTCCTGTACCAGTCAGATCTGATTTGATGGGAGCTGTTAATCCTAAGGCCATGCCTCCGGCAGTTCAAATCCACCAGTGGCTCCAGGGAGGAAGATATGCAGTCTCCTCCTGTTTGATTTGTAACCTTGGAAAACCCAATGGAAAGTCAGCTGGGAATTAGTTCTGACTCTATGTCAATGAATTACCGACTAGAGGAGTCCCCGGCTGATGGTAACCAAAAGGTTGGCGGTTCACGCCCACTTAAAGACACGTCAGAAATGTGTGGGTCTAACCGTAGCTTTATACCAATTGTCCTAGAAATTGTTCCTCTAAAATATTTCAACAACTGATCATCCACTCTATAAATCATTAAGACGCTATCATAGCATTATATCAGCCACCAAAACCCCTACAGAATCTTGCCTACTCATAAATGGGGTCCCCATCAGAGAGAACCTACCTCAACGGAAACACGTTGGTCTGGTTGATTCATGTACTGAAGTATTTACAAATGAAATAGTTTACGTCTGAAATTTACTAATAATGATACCAATAATACTAATGATACTAATAATAACTGATAATACAGTGCTTTACAGAGAAAGCTGTTAACCACAAAGGCAGTGGTTTGAAACCACCAGTGGCCCCAAGGGAGAAGGGTGAACACGTCTCCACGCATAGATTTACAGCCTCAGAAACTTGAGGGAGGGTTGACAGGAACTGGGATTGAATTGATGGTTAGGGAGAGGACTTGCTTTTTTAAAAAATTTTATTTTATTATTTTGTGTGTGTGTACCATCAAATCAGATCTGACTGGTACAGGAGGAGATCACCTCTCCTTCTCCAGCAGAGCATCTGGTGGATTTGAACCATGTACCTCTGGGATTGTAGTGCAGCTTCTTGGCACTAGGCCACCAGATCGCCCTGCCTTTTTTTTTTTGCCTTGGAATTTCCCCACGAAGTTTACTGTGAGGTGGAGGGAGGAAGGATGGAGATTTGGATGTGATATGAATAACCCTGGGCTGATCGTGTTGAAGGTCAGTTGTGGGTGAATTAGGGGTGAGGAAGGGTGGTTCCAGTGCCTGGGTAGGGATGCCATGCGTATCCTCCCGCAGCTCCCAGGCTGCCAGGAAAGGCAGCTTTCTAAGGGACATTTGCGAAAAGAGTAATTTCACGCGCCGCAAAGAACACGGGACCCTTTTTGTGTAGTTACTGGAAAATTTCAACCCACATTGAAGCAGATAGAACGGGGTCTACTCCCACTTCTATGAATCCCCGCTGCTAACCTTTTTAACGTCATTCATTTGGTTACATTTATTTACATGAAAGTTTACAAATCGTACTGGTTTCTCACTTAATCATTCCTGTATCTTTTGTTTTATAATAGTAAGCTCCCCTGATTAATGAATTACAATGTCCAAACGATTCCCTATCCTCTATTGCCCTTCGACATCACCCACCTTATCTGTTTATTTTTTTTTTATTTCTGCTCACCTTAATCTCCTTTCTTATCTCTTGATCTTTTAAAAAAATTTTACATTTTTATTAATTTTAATGAAAGTTTACATAGACTTAGGGTTTCCAGTCATTCATTGGTTGCACTTTTCTCCCTGCCCACTCCCTCCCCCACCCCCCCAATTCACTCTTCTCTTTGAAAAGTGAAACTCTTTTATTGTTAAGTCCACTCCACTGAGCAGCCTTCATTCTGGAATTCTGTCATGACAAGAATACCCATTCATATATCCCTTTTAAACAGTTCTCTCCCTCATCTCTTTCAATGCAATATACATCATTCCTCTCCTCCTTTTCTGTCTCCCCTCAACCCTGATGTCAGTCCTGTTTTACAACAGTGGCACTATGCAGTATTTGTCCTTTTGTGACGGAGATATTTCAGCGTAATGTCCTCCAGGGTCATCCATTTTGAATAATATTCCGTAAGTTCCTTGTTTTTCAATGTTGCATAGTATTCCATGGTGTGAATATACCACAGCTTCTCTATCTATTCATTTGTTGATGGGCACTTGGGTTGTTTCCAGCTCTTTGCTATTTCGAACAAAGCCACAATAAACATGGGTGTGCCTATCTCTTGATCTTTAAAAAACACCCCCAACACAACTTCTTATGGTGCTTTAGTGAAAGTTTGCAGAGAATGTTTCCCGTTCAACTGCTCAAAGTTATGGCCCTTTCTTGTGCCAATACCTGGTGCTCCTGATTGATAGTCTCCACATTGTAACAGCACTCTTCCTGCTCCAGCCTTGTGACTCGCCTTTCCATTCATCCTTCTAGCCTATCTCTTCCTGCTTCCTGAGTTTTCATCCTGGGCAACTGCCCTTTTGATCCTCTGGGGTTGATTGTGCTAAGGAGTGAGTGTCCCTCTGGTGTAATTTATTCACCTTCTATGCTTGGCTATTATCTGGCTGAAAGTTGCAGCACGTGGCGAGTTGAGTTCAGGTTTTGAAGAGTGAGTAAGTGGTCATCACTAACTCTTAACCATGATCAACCCGTGATTTCACGTATTTCCTCTACGTTCTCGCACACTTCCCCATTCCACTTCAAACTCGGCTTCGGTAAATTCCAGGCACTGAAGTTATTTAATCTATAAATACCTGAGCGTGTAACTATATTGGGTAAAAGTATTTTTAAAAAACTGGTAACCACCAGACCTTCCCCTGGAACTCCTGTAGCACAGTGGCTAAGCGCTCAGCTGTTCGCGGAAAGGTTGGCATTTTTAAGACACACGGTAGCTGTGAGGAAGAAGGACCTGGCGACCTATTCCCTTAAACTGAGTTGATTCTCACTTACAGCAAGTGTACAGGACAGAGGAGAAGGGAAGTGGGAGGCTGGATTTTTACGGAAGCTGGCTGAGTCATTTTTCTCCCGAAGAGCAGCCTGTAAGTTGGAACAGCTGACTGTTTAATCACTGCACCAGGGCTCTCTCTACGGGAAAGACACCCTGGTGGCACAGTGGTTATGCTCCTAAAAGCTGGGTTATCTCTCCACTCAACCACCTGTTTGTTCAGCGTCTTCCTTTCTCTGCTGGTTGTAAAAAGTTCCGCACCTTGACCACAGATGGGGACATAATTTTGGGGTTGGTTTTGTTTTAAATTGTAGTCAAGGAATGCAGCCTTCAATATGGATTGAGGCTCAGCATCAAGAAAACAAAGATTCTCACCACCGGGCTGATTGGCAGCATCATGATAGACGGGGAAGAGATTGAGACTGTTAACAGCTTTAGTTTGCTTGGCTCCTCAATCCACACTCCTGGTACCAGCAACCAGGAAATCAAAAGAGGAATTGCATTAGGAAAGTCTGCTGTCAGAGGCATCTCCAGAGCATTGAAGAGCAACGATGTCAGTCTGGAGACTAAGGTGAACCTGATCCAGGCCATAGTCTTTGTAATTACTTTTCATGCATCAGAGAGCTGGACAATGAGTAGGGATGATAGAAAGAACTGGTGCCTATCCTAGTACAGAACCCAAATGTGGGAGATGAAGTCCCATCATCCTCTTCTCTAAGCAGCACTCTGGCAGCACCTTTTTTTAGTAGTATTATTATTTGTGTGTGTGTACCGTCAAATCGAATCTGACTGGTACAGGAGATTGTTCCTCCTTCTCCAGCAGAGCATCTGGTGGATTTGAACTGCGCACCTCTGGGATTGCAGTGCAGCTTCTTGCCACTAGGCCACCAGAGCTCGCCTGGTAGCACCTTTTTAAAATGATTAAATTTGGCACCATACGTGTGTCACCCCCTGACCCCTAGCCCTTGACCCCTAGCACTCTTGACTCCTTGAATGTTTTTGACTGAGTCGGACTGGGATCCAGAATGCGTGTCTTCCAAGATAGAATTGCTCGTTCTTTAGTCAGTCCGTGGTATGCTCGATACTCTTCAACACCACAGTTCAAAGGCCTCACCTTTTCAAGCTCCCTTATTCGTTGTCAAACTTTCACATGCAGAGGAAGCGATTTGACAGACCTTGGCTTGGGTCGGATGCCCCTTTGTCCTCAAAGGGCTATCTTTGCTTTTTAGTACTTCAGAGCTGTCCTTTGGGGCAGATGTGCCCATTTCATGTGTCATTTGGTTTCTCCATTTTTCTTATTGACACATCTTTATCATTCATATACACTGTGTTTTATGCATGTAGTCATTTGGTTTGTTGGCTTCTGCTTCTATGAGGGTTCATTGTGAGTTCAAGTGAGATGAAATCCTTGACAAGTGCAGTCTTTTTTCTTCGTCTGCAGTGATGCTGTTGATGGGCTCAACTAGATGCTTTTCTTTTTGAAAAAAATTAATTTATTTTTATTATTTTGTGTCTGTGTGTACTGTCAAATCAGATCTGACTGGTACAGGAGGAGATTGTCCCTCTTTCTCCAGCTGAGCATCTGGTGGATTTGAACCACACACCTCTGGGATTGCAGTGCAAGGTTTTTCTTTTCTTGATGTTGCGGTTTAATCCACTCTCAATATTTTTTGCTGCAAAAACCTACAACTTCTCCTTTCAAGCAGATACATTGTATTGCAGTGACACCTTCATCATAGAGTGGGTGTGTGTGGGTCTGTGTTTAAACTATTCCATTGACCTGTTGGCTTCTTCTTGGGCCAATATTTCATATGCTCCTGATTGACATAACTTTGGAATAAGTCTGAGTGTTTAGTGATATAAGTCCACCAGCTTTATTTGTATTCATGTTTTGTCTGTCTTTCTTTCTTTCTTTCTTCCTTCCTTCCTTCCTTCCTTCCTTCCTTCCTTCCTTCCTTCTCTCTCTCTCTCTCTCTCTCTCTCTCTTTCTCTCTCTCTCTCTCTCTCTTCTTTCTTTCTTATCGGATCCGACTGGCACAGAAGGAGATTGCCCCTCCTTCTCCAGCGGAGCATCTGGTGGATTTGAACCACGTACCTCTAGGTCGTATAGCCCTGATGTACAAGTTGCCATACAGCGGTAACTTGTGGTTGCTGTGAGGACGAACGCTGAGATACTGATTTGTCAAATGCGTTAATGGTCGGTTACCCAGTGAGGACAGAGATCAGGGTGGAGCTCCCCGATTAAAACAAGCTTGGAAGGAGGAGTGGCATCCGCTTCAATAATAGCTTGCCTTCGGAAACCCTATGAACCTGGAGAGAGGATGAAAGACACCCAAGCGTTGAGGACTCTCCTTCATAGGGTCGCTATGAGTCGCCTGCGACTTGACGACACTTAACAACAACAACAACAACCACCACCTCTGGGATTGCAGCATAGCTTCTTGCCACCAGGCCACCAGAGTTCCCTGTTATTTACTTATTTCCTTTACTTTTAAGTTATTTGTAGCTTATTTGAGCTGGCTGGAGGGTGCAAGAGGTCTGTGCTTCGCTACTGACTTGAAAGTTGGTTGCTTGACCTCGTGGCACTGCGGAAGAAAGGCCTGGCCAATAAAGAGTAAAATCAAAACCGAGTTCAGTGCCGTCGAGCCGATTCTGACACGTGGTGGAAGGAGACTGCTCACCCTTCTCCTTCAGAGCGACTGGAAACCCCAAGTTCCTGGGCCTTGCACTCAGCTTGTCTGTCTGTCTGTCTGTCCGCAGAGCCGCCCTCCATGCGCCTGAAGGCCCGGCCCAGCAGCCTCGGCGCGGGCTACTCCGAGCTCACCTGCAGCGCCTTCTCCTTCTACCCCCCGGAGCTGCAGCTTCGATTCCTCCGCAACGGGCTGGCGGCCGGCTCCGGCGAGGGCAGCGTGGGCCCCAACGGCGACGGCTCCTTCCACGCCTGGTCGTCGCTGCAGGTCCAGAGCGGGGACGAGCACCACTACCGCTGCGTGGTCCAGCACGTGGGGCTGCCGCAGCCCCTCACCGTGGAACTGGGTGATGTCCCCTGACCCCCGGCTGTGGCAGCCTGCCCTGTCGAGTTGATCCCAAATATTGGCATCCCTTTAGGGCAGCCTCACAGGCTTTCTCATGCTGCTGGGCTTGAACTGCTGACCTTCTGATTAACGTCAGGATCTTTAACCACTTAAGGCCACCAGGGCATCTTGCCTTGTGTCTAACTACTGCCAGTTCGGCTCCCCAAAGCCCGGCAACCTTCTGTCCGGTGCCGCTTGTCCTCCCGACGTCTGGCTGCCTCCCATCATGCTGCTGTTGCAGGATCCCTTTGAATTTGACCACCTGTTGACCACTGTGGTCAGTTCCTCTCTGAGCCTGGCCACCTTTCGACGCACTGCTGCTGGTCCCCCTTGAAGCCAGCCACCTTCCATTCTGCTGCTGGTCCTCACAGAGTCTGGCCAACACTGTCCGCTTCTGCGAGTTCTTGCCAAGACTGGCCATCCGCCGCCTTGCTCCGCTGGTCTCCCCTGCACCTGACCTCCTGCTGCTCTGTGCCTGCCCGTTCTCCTCCTGGAACCCTACAGGGCCCTTGGCCAGCCTGGCTGTCATTCCTTGCTATGGCTCGTTCTTCCATGCAGCTGGGGACACTCTGTCCAAGCCCACGACATCCCCATCCCCAGACACTCGAGACAGACGTTTCCGAGGCTGGGAGGTACAAGATCCCCGGCTCTCTGTCCTGCCTGGTGGGGTGGAGGGTCCACCCACCGCCTCCTGTCTCATGCCATCTGTCATCTGCAGAATTGTCAGCCCGGTCCTCGGTGCCCGTGGTTGCCATTGTTGTCAGTCTCTTGCTGCTCATAGTGGTGGCGGCGACAGGAGGTGCTCTGCTGTGGAGGAGAATGCGAAAGGGGCTGCCAGGTATGAGGCAGGAGGAGGAGCCTGAGGGGGGCACAGAGATGCAGAAAGAGGGGGTCAGACCCAGAGAAGGGGGACAAAGACTCAGAGAGGGGGGACAAACCCAGAGAGGGAGATGGAGACTGAGAGAGAGTGAGACAGACCCAGAGAGGGGAACAGATGCAGAGAGGGGACAGAGACCTAGAGAGAGTGGGACAGATCCAGAGGGGGCAACAGAGACCCAGAAAGAGTGGGAAAGACCCAGAAAGAGGAGGGGAAGGGGCTACAGGGACCCAGAGAGAGGGAGAGAATAGATACCCAGAGAGAGTGAGACAGACCCAAAGAGGGGAGACAGAGACCCAGAGAGAAAGGGGTCAGGGACTGAGAGGGGAAGGAGGTACAGAGACCCAGAGAGAGTAGGAAAGACCCAGAGAGGGGAGACAGAGACCTAGAGAGAGTGGGACAGACCCAGAGGCGGGACAGAGACCCAGAGAGAGTGAGATGGACTCAGAAAGAGGAAGAGAAGGAGCTACAGGGACCCAGAGAGAGGGAACAAATCCAAAGAGAGGGAGGGAACAGAGACCCAGAGTGAGTGGGACAGACCCAGAGAAGGAGGACAGAGACCCAGAGAGAAAGGGGACAGGGACTGAGAAGTGAAGGAGGCACAGAGACCCAGAGAGAAAGGAGGAACATAAACTCTGAGGGGGGGGAGAATAGAGATCCTGAGAAAGGGAGACGGACCTAGAGAGAGAAAGGTGTCAGGAACTGGGAGGAGAGGGGAAACAGAAACTCACAGGGGACAGAAGCTCTGAGAGAGCACAGAGACCTAGAGAGGGGGACAGAGGCCCAGGGAGAGACAGAGGCCAAAGACCCAGAGAGAGAGCAACAGAGACGCCTAGAGAAAAGGGTGTAGACACCCAGAAGATGACTGGGACTCTCAGAAATGGATGGAGCAGACATGGAGGAGGTGTGGACAGGAAAGGGTCGCCCAGGGTCTAATGGCCTGTTCCTTTCTCCTCTCTGTTCAGTGCCTTGGATCTCCTTCCGTGGAGACGACGTCGGGGCGCTCCTCCCCACCCCTGGCCTGTCCCAGCAGGCTGACAGTCAGGATTCAAACTCACTCACAGGCACAGCCTGACCTGCCTGATCTGGTTGTGACCAGCTAATAAGCGTCGGGGCCTGTTCATGCTGTGAGACTTCTGGACAGAACTGTGGCATCTCTGAGCCTCCATAAGGAATCAGGGCCCATTATCCTCCCCTGGACTCCTCTTCCTGTGGCCTGCCTCAGTTTCCCCTCCTGAAAAACAGATATATAACTCTTTTCCACCTCCATATATAATACAATTTTGGGCCCAGATGGACTGTGTTCTCATCATTTCACGTTTTCAGGAGGGTTTGGGCATGATGGTGAAAGCTTTAACTTCAAATGTCACCTTACAGCTAACATGTCCTGTGTAATCTAAGGAGTTTATTTGCCAGTCCCAAAACCAAACGTGTGGAGTGGATTCCCTTCCTGGCCACCCTTCGTCAGTTTCTGAGGCCGTGAATTTTAACCGGTGCAGACTGACCCATATTTCTTTTTCTCAGCCACTGGCGGATTCAAACCCACAACCATTCACATAACTCACTACTTCACATAACTCACTTTCTAAGCCACCTCACTCGTGGTTAGTAAGTCGGAACCGACCCATAGCTGACCCTGTAGTGGGTTTCTGAGGCTGTAACAGGAAGAAATCACCCATCTTTCTCCCAAGAAGCCACTGCTGCATCTGAACTTAAAGTGAAACTCTCTATGCACTTGGGCACCAGAATTTTTTATTTTATCTATCACGTCACGCTTTTTTTTAAATTCATGAGGTTGTGATCTTTTTTCTTTTTTCTTTTTTTTTTTGCAAGAGTTCTTTTTATTTATTTTTCATTTCAATGAACATCTACAGAGATTTTGGAATTCCATTCATTCATTGTTGCACCCTTCTCCCCACCCACCCCCTCCCCCCGAGGTTATGATCTTATGTACTGTCGAGTCTGACATGATGCATAGCTGACCCTCCAGCGGGTTTTCAGAGGCATGGGAAGAAATTAACCCTATTTATCTCGTGGAGCAGTCGGTGGCTTCGAACCACGTGCTTTTGAGTTGGCAGCGCAACTCCTTACTACTAGTCCACTAGACCTCATATTCTTTCATTCATAGCTTGCACAAATTGCGTGCCTACACTTTGTCAGGCATTTTGAAGGGTTCGTAAGGGACTCTGTCCTGAATCCCTCCCTCTGCATTCAGCTTTAGGCCTTTGGGAGCAAAGAAAACAGTTAAAAATACATTTCCCAAGAAGCCTCGCGGCCATGACAGCTTAGAAGTAGTCGGACTGAATGCCCTGAGGCCTGCCGGGAGTTGTAGTTCACTCAGCAGCGCGGCTCTTGCGTCGCCTACCCCGCCCGCCTGAGGAAGGGGCGTGGCCTAGCCTCGTGGGTCCCGCTTTCCTTTGTGGACGTGGCGGGGGTCGCCCGCGGGCCCGCTTGGTGCGCGCTGGCCCCGCCTATCGGGGGCCCCGCGCTCGATCATTGGTCAGGGGGCGGGGCTTCTGCGCACTCAGAGGCGGGGCCAGGTTGGAGCCCCGCCAAACTGGGCATCTTTTGGAGAACGTGGAGCGGAACGTGGAGAGCGAGCCAGGCTGCATAACTGGGTAAAGGGGTGCAAGGGGTGCCTAGGGAGGGCGGCGTGGGGGTGCTGGGGTCGAAGATCAGCATGCAGTCAAAATAAGCGACCCCTGGGAGTCAGCTGAATCTCTCACTATCCACAACCCCGCCCTCACTTTGGGTAGGACAGGCGCCACGTCTTACCCTGGTGTCCCCATCACTTGTGGATGTGGACACTTGTGGACTCCCTCAGCTGGTTTTACACCTGAAACCCCGCCTCTTTTTGCCTATTCCTGAGGCCAAAACTTTTCGGCCTGTCCTATGTTGCTCCCGCTCCCCCAGATCTTCCTGGCCCCTTTCCTCTGACCCCTGACCACTGGCCTCTGCTCTTCCGCAGGGACTGACGATGTGGCGACGATCGCTTTTGCTGCTACTGTTGCTGCTAGGACAGGGGACCCGGGGAAAGCCATCTCCCGACGCAGGCCCTCATGGCCAGGGGAGGGTCCATCAGGCCGTCCCCCTGAGCGAGGCCTCTCATGACGACGCCCACGGGAACTTTCAATACGACCATGAGGCTTTCTTGGGACGAGAAGTGGCCAAGGAATTCGACCAGCTCACGCCAGAGGAGAGCCAGGCTCGCTTGGGGTAGGAGTGGGGTGCAGGAGGCAAGGGGTGGTGGGCGGGAGTAGAGGAGGAAGAGCAATTGGAGCAGAGACAGCGTCAAGGACCAGGATAAAGAAACAGAGTGGGTCTTGGTTTTGGGTGAGAATCCAGTGATGAAATCCTACCTCCCCTCTTCAGCCAATACAAATTCAGTAAGAATGGACCTCTCCAGATAAGACTTTTGAAAGTAGAAAAATCGATTCGGCTCCCGTCTTCTCTTTGTTCCTTTGCCCCAGACACCTCCCCTCTCTGAGCCTCAGTTTTCTGCTTTTGCAAATGGGTCACCAGTTCTCTTTGACATTGGACATGATCTGGCATGCAACGTGGACAGTTGTTGTGTACCGTCCATTTGGAACTGACCCATTTGCTGACCCTCCAGCGGGTATTCGGAGGACAGGCAGTTAATCACAGAGGAGGAGATTGCCTATTTCTCTCCCAAAGCAGCTGGTGGCTTTGAACCACATGCCTTTGGGATTACAGTGCAGCTTCTTACCAGCAGGCCACCACCAGAGAGGATGGTAGAGGGAGGGAAGAAGGCTGAGCCCCAAGTCCCAGAAGGAACTGAGTTGAGAGGGGTCTCCCCATGAAACTGAGGTGGCGTTTGTAGCCCTGTATGAGGAGACAGAGTGGCCCTAGGGGCAGGGAGCCAAGCAAAGGCCCCTCTCTGACCCATTTCACCTCAGGTCATTCATCTCTCATTCGCCGTTCATCTGCCCATAGTGTTTTAGAGACTGTAATCTTTACAGACGTTTACTCCATCTTTCTGCCACACAGCAGAAGGGTTCAAGTTACTGATCTCTTGGTTCTAGCAGAAGAGAGGTTAACTATTGTAACCAGGGCTCCTTAGGCAGCAAACCACTCGGACCAACAATCCCTGTCCTTGTGTGGTTTGCCTTGTAGAGGGGGGTGACTGAAGAAATAGAAAAAAAAAGATAAATAAATATATATATATCTAAATATATATATATATATATACCTATATATATGTATACATAAAAATATAATATATATCTAAATATTTATATATATAAAATATATAAAAATAAATATATATGATATATATATATATATCTCTCATAGTTAGCCCTACAGTAGATTTTCAGAAGCTGTAAATGACCAGAGAGGAAATAGTTCTTCTTTCTCCCAAGAAGCAGCTAGTGGATTTGAACCGAATGCGTTTGGGTTGGCAGCACAACTCCTTACCCATTAAGCCAGGGCATTCAAGAAAAAGAACAAAGAATGTGTGAAGGGGATGTTGTTGTGGTTGTGGTTGTGTACCGTCCAATTGGAACCGACCCATAACTGATCCTCTGGCAGGTTTTCAGAGGCAGTAAATTGCAGAGGAGGAGTTTGTCTTTTCTTCTGCGGAGCAGCGGGTGGGTCCGAACCACATCCCTTCAGGATTGCAGCGCAGCTTCTTACCACTAGGCCACCAAAGCTCTCTGGTGGAGGGGGCTGGAGGGAAGGAATAACCATTTTAAACTGAGTGTTCGGCAGAAGCCTCATTGACAAGGCTGCGTTGGGGTCTGGGATACATGGGAAGGGGCAAAGGGAACTGTAAATGCCAAGATCTTGCGGCAGGAGTGGACCTGTCTGTTTGAGGAATAGCTGGCTAGTGTGGCTGGAACAGAGAGAGCAAAGAAGAGAACTGGGAAGCAAGAAGAGGGAACAAGGGGAACTGGGAGCCACAGGAGAATTCTGAGCAGGGAAGGGACTCAGGCTCTGGCGGGCTTTAGCTGAATCCTCCAGGGTACATATGGGAACAGACTGAGGGCATGGGGAGGCGGGAAGCGTCAATGAGGAACAGAGACTGCAATTGAGGGGCCTGATACTATCTATGATCTATCCCCATTTTACCAAAAGGAATACAAGGTTCAGAGAGAGTAAGTTATTTGTCCAAGGGCACATTCTAGGAAGTAAGTGTGATAGGATTTGAATCTAAAATGCTTGACTGTAGAGCCCACACTCTTCCCCCCCCCCATTATTTTTTGTGTGTACCGTCAAATCAGATCTGACTGGTACAGGAGGAGATTGTTCCTCCTTCTCCAGCAGAGCATCTGGTGGATTTGAACCGTGCACCTCTGAGACTGTAGTTGCAGCTTCTTGCCATGGAGCCCACACTCTTAACCTCTGCTTTAACCTCTAATTAGAGAATGAGTCCAGGGAGGGAGGGTGGCGACCTGGAGGGAATGTGGAGAGGACCAGGCCATCTCAGATGTGACCTGACGTTGGGAGTGGGGTGGGATGGGGTGGGGTGGGGAGGAAACTGCGGGTTGGTGACCAGAAGGAGGCTTCCCTGTGGCCTGTTTGTGGCCAGGCTTGGAGAGGGTTGGGATGGTGGCAGGGTGTGGTCAGCGAGTGGGATGAGGGCACTGATCGAAAGAGGAGGGGACATGATGTGGCCTGGGGGTGCTGGATTTGACAGTGCAGGCGGGAGTTTAGAGAGATGGAGGGGGCGGGGCGGGCCTGGGGAGGAGCAAACTGAGACACGTGGAGCCAGAGGGGAGTGGGGCCCGGAAAGGGGCGTGGCCAGGGGGCGTGTACTTGGGGTTCAGAGCCAAGAGTTGCACCGCTCTTCGTGCCTACTTCTGTTCAATTCAAGGTGGAGCATGTGCAGGATAAGGGAGCGGGGAGCCGAGTGGAACCCTGGTTGAGTAGGTCCGCCCCCCCCCCCACGCCTGCCTTTGGTATCGTCCTAGGCTCATAAGGCGTGGCTTGCAGCGGGGGCGGAGCTTAGGTGGGGGCGTGGCCCGGAGCTCCTGTCATGTGCTCCTCCCCTATCCACCGCACGTGGACCTCCTTTTCACCCCGATATGGATTCTGAGTGTGGAAGTGAGGACAAGGGGACGGGTCCTGGGTTGGATGGCAGTGGCCGGGGACTGACCTGAGCCTCTCCCTGGCCGCAGGAAGATCGTGGACCGCATGGACCGCGATGGGGACGGGGATGGCTGGGTGTCTCTGGCCGAGCTCCGCGCGTGGATCGCTCACACGCAGCAGCGGCACATCCGAGACTCGGTGAGTGCGGCCTGGGACACCTACGACACGGATCGCGACGGGCGCGTGGGCTGGAAGGAGCTGTGCAATGCCACCTACGGCCACTACGAGCCTGGTAGGTAGTGACCCCTCAAATCCTGCTCCTCTATCATCCCCCTTTTCACATCCCTTCATTCTCCATCATCCCCCTTTTCACATCCCTTCATTCTCCATCATCCCCCTTTTCACATCCCTTCATTCTAAGAACCCTAGAACCTGACCTGGGATCTTTAATCAGAGTCTACCCAGCATCCGCTCTCTCAGAAACTTCCAACCTGAGACCTCTGACCTCTCATTTGGAGACCCCTGACTGTGACCCTGTGACTGAAGACTTAAGCTCTATGACCAGAGACACCTAACTTCCGTGCTCTGTCATCCTGACTTACGATTGTGCCTTCTCGTCCTCAGAACCCCAAGGCCATTTTACCCTCTCTCGGGGCTTTTTTTTTACTCTCACAGCCTCATCCCTGGCCCCCTGCAAAGACGTCACTCCTTCCCTCTTAGACCTATGGCCTAGCTCTCTACTTGGATTCTTGACCCTAAGTCTCCCCTGACCTTCCTCTACCTTGAGCTAAACCTGGCCCTCCCCTGCTCACAAGCCTCCCCTGTTCCCCAGTGCCCCAGGAGAAATCCCTTTCTCTGCACCTTTCACCCCAGCCACACTGACCCCAGAGGGCGTTTCCAGAACTCTCTGAGCTCTCTGAAAGCTGACACTCTTCACAGGCTGCCTGTGTCTAAAATGAGCTTCCCCAACTCAGTCAGGCAACCTGTCAGTTTATCTGACTGCATTAGATGTGCTGACCTTGAAGCCCAACAGGCTAATGCCAACTTCAAACCCATTGTTATTGACCTTGACCCAGTGTTGGCCTCTCTTGGGAGGTCACTTTTCTTCCATCAAGTTTGAATGAAGGAAAGAAACCGCTTTACCTGATTTGCGTTGTGGGTTCAGTCAGTGCAATTGGATAGGCAAAGAGCTCAGCATGTAATAAGCTTCCCGTGTTGTTTTTAGAGACTGTCGAGTCAGCGCTGACCCCGTGTCCAGCAGAAGGAAGCCCTGCCTAGTGCTGTACAATGCTTACAATCTCTGCTGTGCTAATGAGGCCCACCACAGTCACACGCCAGTCCCTCTTGTTAAACGGTTTCCTGTTTTTCACTGATGCCCTACTTTCCCCAGCGTGAGGCCTCCTGACAACACCTCCAAAGTATGCGAGACCAAGTTTCACCATCTTTGCCTCTGAGGAGCATTCTGGCTGCACTATTTATTCCCAGACAGATTTGTTTGTTCTTTTGACTATCCATGGGATGGATATTCAATATTCTTTTTTTTTTTATATTCAATATTCTTCACCAGCCAACGCTACAATTCAGAATCGTCTTTGATTTTCTCTATTCGTTGTCTGACTGTCACATGCATATGAAACCACTGAAAATACCCTGGCGCGGGCCAGGTGCCACTTATTAATGATTTATAATTCTCTTTTTAAAATTTTTAAAAATTATTTTTGGTGTGTGTGCTGTCAAATCAGATCTGACTGGTACAGGAGGAGATTGCCCCTTCTTCTCCAGCAGAGCATCTCGTGGATTCGAACCTCGCACCTCTAGGATAGCAGTGCAGCTTCTTGCCACTAGGCCACCAGGGCTCCCTTAATTACGTATAATTCTATGAAACTCTCCTCTTGTGAGTTTCATCTCCTTGGCCCTTTGTCAACCTGTCCCTCTGTTAACTTCCAGGGAAGCCCATGTCATTGAGCCCTTTCCCCTCTCACAGGTGAAGAATTTCACGACGTGGAGGATGCGGAGACCTACAAGAAGATGCTGGCCCGGGACGAACGGCGATTCAGGGCAGCCGACCAGGACAGGGACTCGGTGGCCACTCGGGAGGAGCTGACAGCCTTCCTGCACCCGGAGGAGTTCCCTCACATGAGAGAAATAGTCATTGCTGTAAGTGAAACCCAAAGAGCTCACCTCTTCCCACCGCCCATCCCGCCCCAGGCCTCCAGTGGGTTCACAACCGTTCTGTAACTGCTGTTGTAAACAAGGGCTGTGTATGCGTTGCATAGCAACCACCTCTATTGCTTGTGGCATTCTGACCCTGGTAGGAAACCAACGGCGGGTGGCACCCTAATCAAAGATGGCAACCAGATGCCCCACTCTGAATCTCTTTCTCCCTGGAGTCCAGCTGATAATGTTGCTCTCCCAAAGTCCTGTCTGTGGCCTTTCCTCTTGCAAGTTTCAAGAGCCAGATGCGGGAGATTGCAGTCTTGACCAGATTCTGGAAAACAACATAGAATCAGTTGCATGGGTGGCGGCCATCTTTGAGCAGGGCAAAGCTTTTTGTTTCCTAATTGAGACCGAATGCCATGACAACAGATTTGGTTGCTATGCAACCATACTCTGCCCTCATTTAGGAGGGCAACTACTGAACTGTTTTTTATTAAAGTCATTCACGATTTAGCTGAGGCCAAGAACGTCGTTGAAGAGTATTTCAAATGCAAGAAATGAAACGAATAAAGAACTTAGCATATTAAAAAAAAAATAATGCTTTGATCTCACACACACTAACGCTCTGCCTTGGGGAATTCAGTCACCTGCCTGCCAGAATGTTCCCTGGGGAAGCGCAAACCCCCATAATTAGATCACAGAGAGGGCAGCACTTCTTCTTGTCAACTTCCAGACCCTTCGTGTCTAATTTCTCATCTGGCGTCTTGTCTTTCTCCTTGTCCTTGCATTTGGGACCCAGGCCCGCCTGCCTGCCGGTGGAAAATGCCACCCCTCGAAAGTCTCTGCAAAACAAAACAAAACAAAAAGCTCTGTTGCTGTTGGGTCGATTTCCATTTCATATTGATCCTGTTGGACAGAGAGTAGGACGGCCCGATAGAATTTCTAAGGAAGCAGGCTCCCGCATCTTTTGCCCATGGGGCAGACGGATGGATTTGAACTGTTGATCTTTAGTTTACCAGATGAGCACTTAACCAGTGCAGCGTGAAGTTTCCTTTAGAAATGCCTCAGGGAACCCCAGTCCTGACACTGAATGGGATATACTTATGCAGAGGAGGAACTGCATTCCTAACCCAAAAAATCATATCTCTCACGTGGTTCAAATCCACCAGCAGCTTCAAGGGAGAAAGATGAGTCATTTCCTCCCATATGATTCCAGGCCCAGAAACAGGTTTGAGCCCGTGGCGACTGATAACCATGAGTGGGATATATGTATCCAGAGGAATCGTCTGTCTTTCCTCTAAAATTCACATAAAACTGGGCATTCTTTAGTTTTTAATTTACTTTTTTTAAAATTAATTGTAATGAAAGTTTACAGAGACTTTGGATTTCCACTCATTTGTTGTTGCACTTTTCTTCCTGCCCAACCTCCCCACCAGTTCGCTCTTCTCTTTGAAAAGTAAAAGAAAAATTCTTTCATTGTTATACAATCCCTCCCCTCCCCCCCACCCCACCCCCGCTGGGGCATTCTTTATTTTATCTACTAGCCCTCAGCTTGGTCAGAAGACACAGTGGGGTGACAGATAGCCACACACTAGGAGAGTGGGTACATTTGAATGTGAAAATAGGGAGACACAGATGCTGTTTGGCTCAGAAAGAGAAAACAAGTCCCCTGACCACCAAATGCAGGTGGTGCAACTAACTACTCACGGTGACACCCCAGAAATACCCTTCCCAAACATCCCCTGGGGACAGTCTTGTCCTGTGGAGAGGGCTGCAAATCCTGCCCCTGCCATCACCCCTGAACCTCACAGCTGCCCAAGGGAACCAGGGCACTGACCTCCAGGTGCAAGTGCCTCTTTCTCCACAGGAAACGATGGAGGACCTGGACAGGAACAAAGATGGCTACGTCCAAGTGGACGAGTACATTGGTGAGTGGGCTCCCCGCCTCCCAGGACCCCCGTCTTCTGCCATTAGGGGTTAGCCCCTGGGTCTCCTAGTGGCACTGTCATGTCTAAATCAAAGTGGGTGGCTTTCAAAGACAGAAATGTGTCGCCTCACAGTTCTGAAGTCAGAAAACCCCAATCTGGGTCTTGGGCGAGTTACCTTCTGTGGTCTGTGGGCCTCTCTCCTGGTTCTGGTGTTTGCTGGTGATCCTGGCTATTTCCTGGTGTGGGGGGAACCCTCCTGTGGCGTGTGTGTGTGTGTGTGTGTGTGTGTGTACTGTGCGTCTGTATCTGGAGGAAGAATATGACAGTTGCCTGCCCCAGGCTTGGTCACTTCCGGAGAAACCTGATAACATCTCAGCTGGTCATATCAAAGCCCAGACCAGACAATGAATCCTGATAAGGGTCTAAGCCTGATCAAAATAGCCCAAACCTAACTTAATTAATATCCCAAATTCCAAGGAATACCATCCTAGTCCTGCCCAAGACCCCTATAAGAAGGAGCCCCCCAAACAGCCCGTGAGCCATTTATTTCAATCCTCTCCTCCTGCTGTAAGGCTGGGTCACTTGCCATCCCTCTCAGACCGCACAATAAAGGCCTGTTCGTTTCTTGGGACCAGTTTCTTTTCTTTCTTTCTTTCTTTCTTTCTTTCTTTCTTTCTTTCTTTCTTTCTTTCTTTCTTTCTTTCTTTCTTTCT